TGATGGACTTGAGATCTTCTACCAGTTACAAGTTAACCTCCTCTGAGCATCCTCAACTTCTGCAGTTTGTGTCAAAAGCTTTAGTTGTTGAATATGTAACATTTCGCATGATTCTCAGCGATCACAGCTTTCTAGGTTTTTTGGTGACTAACTTTATTGAAACAAGTATATATTGCGATATTAAAAAAGCAAATTTCTGCCAGAAGGTTCTTAAATCCCTAGGTTCTTACACGCGGGTTTTTACTGTATATTTTAACAAATAAACAATGAAAATTATTAAAGAATCTTTCGAAAGTACACAATTATTTACATAGGGGACGGGAGGAGAGGGGAGGGGAGTGGAGCGACCTTCAGTTGTTCACAAAAATATATACTAAATGTAAACTCCGAATGGACATATTTTAGCATGTCAAACCCTGACTTATTTACAGTGAAAACTACTCTAACYAACGCCACCCGAATAAAATTTCTACAAATTAACMAWTCAAAAGTGGRAATCTGAATAGAATCGCTCAAAATCGTACAAATATACATTGAGTTTAGAAGGCTGCTAGCACCTTTGTTGTCGAATATATTCTGACTCGTCCCCAGTCGTCTCTTTCTATCGCTCTATCGCACGAAAAGCATCAAGGGAAGGAAGAAAAAAGAGGAAGAGACGTCGTCTCCTTTCTTTCTTCCTTCCCTTGATGCTTTGCGTGCGATAAAGAGAGACGACTGGGGACGAGTCAGGTATTATACGGTTTCTAATTTKCTTTYCTGTCGTATTTGAAGTCGTACTTTAYTTTTYTCTGTGTGTGTGYGTGACGCAAATCACTATATTTGCAAAGGAAACATATTACAAGCTCTTGTTCATCATTTAGTTTTGCCAATCTGAATAACGGAAGAAATTCTAAATATATTCAAAATTTGYCGCTAATCTCCTAAGTCACGGTCTAAATACTCAAATACTATTGGATTATTTGTAGACAATTTGTCGAGGTCGCCTTGGTTGAAGTACTTTGCACAGTAACAATATTATTAGACCTGCAGCCCGATTAGTCTACGAGTCAATAGCCCATGAGGCCCAATGCGCTATTAACTCGTTAGTATAAACCTACTAATTGGTCTAAAAATGTATACGCACAATTACACGCGCGTCTCCGTAAATATTCCCCGAAATTCACTTTGCCTTCCGGGAATAATTCTTAATTATTGTTAAACATCATTAAATTATCAAATATGTTACTGAAAAAATTACCAATACTACTCTACAAATAACCAATCAGAACCCCCTCGAACTGATAACCGACCATCTTCTGCATTAGGAATATTCAGAAAGTCATCATCAGATGACTGATCATCGTCAGTTGTATCTGTAGGGATCTGATCATCATCAGTCATCCCTGTACTAACTAATAACTCGCCATTTAAAACAGTTATATATCGAGGTTTCTTGATTACATTATCCCAAGTCTTTCCTACAAAACGACCATCCAATGTAAATTTTTGTACGCGGTTATTACCATAATCACACACCAGTAGATGATGGTCATTATCAATAGCCAGGCCMMATGGTCCWTTCAGCTGACCATYAGCACTGCCTWSACMRCCAATCGTCGATATTCTAGTCAGTACGTTACCTCTCTTCTCAAATACATRAATAACCYKATTAMRACCAYCACTGACGTAAAACAGTCCATCATGTCTTATCACATCASTAAAAAAAAGCACGTCCTGTGGTGTGAAACCAAACTGAYATYGATAGTCACCGTCTMTTGTGAAGACTTGACCACGACGATAACCACGATCACATACAATGATGTTACCATCTTCATCAACGTGTACTCCCAACGGATGATAAAACTGACCATCGCCGTGACYTTGGTTACCAAAGTTTCTTACCAATGTCTCTGTTGTAGTGTTCACTATACATATTCTATGATTATTACAGTCAGCTATGACTAAATCTGTATCATTCAGAAATGCTAAACCTTGAGGATTTTTCAATTGTCCCTGTGCACTACCTTGACTACCATACGTCAGTAAGAGCTTTCCATCAGTGGTGAATACATGGACACAGTGAGAAGAAACATCTGAAACAGCGATCCTGCTATTGTCTCTGTTTACTGCTATACCTCCTATTTCACTAGTTCCTATATTTACACCTTTAATGTTAAAACTTCCTGTTTTCCTCATCTCTTGTGGCTTGACATTCACCACTAGTGGACTGTTAGATACATGATTCCCATTCACTTGAACCTCTGCTGTCAACCGACCAGCTACTTTAGCCATGAATTTAAATTCTACTTTACCATCAGTTCTCACATCTTGCTTTTCTATTGTCACATTTCCTTCAGGCCTGAATTGAACATGCATTAGATTATGGTTGAGTTCTCCTGATSTAGTCGTCACTATCAACCTTTCTGTCTTTAAAGCTTCTGTCTCAGACTTCACCTTAATAGTGCCCGTCGTATTGCCTGCTGTGAACCTCGTCTCGTTCATTTGATGCTCATCTATMTTCTCAAAATCCTCGTTCGTCGTCGGATAAACTACCTTGTGTTTATTCTCAAGCATTGAGTGGACCCCCTCGYATTTATCACACATCCAACGCTTACATTGATCACAATACCAAGAGGAGCGTTCATTACAGTCCCGAGAATTACACCGTACAAACGGTGCCATATCTTCAGGAGTTGAGACGAGACGAGTTGAGGGAGTCGTTTGAATAATGTTGTTTGTCTGTCTATATTGTCAGGCGATTCTTGGAAATGAGCGTGACCTTTCGATTTGTTCCTTAGAATGATGTCACCGACGCCATGCATGCATAATTTACGAAATCCTTTATTGTTATCGGCTCCCTTGCTGAGCCAAGCTGCTGCAAGGCGTTTGAGTTTTGAATATATTTCCTGATAAAACTTGTACTTCGTTTTAGTATTGAATGGTCTACAGTGAACAGCACGTTTATATCCGACTTATCCATGCACTTTACTGACTTTAGTGGAAGCGTTTATAGGTTTAATCGTTTAGACTAAGAGGTTCCTTTTCTCAAATGTATTGTTCTTGGAATTTAGTGTTATGTAAATTATTTTCTTGAAAAACTGCATAAATTAGAAATAGAAACAGTATAAACTATTAAAAAAACATAAAGAAATGTAAAAAAACATATAGAAAAGAATAATGTAAGCATTACGAGTGCAACAACGTTTCKAGAGAAATACTTTAATTCGACGATAAATCTTATTTACTGTGGTATATAATTATGCAATGAGCTGTAGAGCGCGAGGGAAGCAAGCTTGAGAGCACCAGTCGCAGCTGAGTATTTCTCTTGCTTTGCGTCAGTACTGTCGTTCTCTTAAGTATTGCCCGGGGGGGGGGGGAGTACTACCACCCCAACTTGGGTAGGGGTGTGCCGCCAGGACCTTAAAACCCTGACCCTATCCCAGACCTAAAAGACGGAAAAGACGGTTATTCAATAGATTGCAATCAATATTTACTAACGTTTTTATCATTTTGTTCCGGCAGAAAGCGTAGCCTATTCGCCAGACAAAAATGACCAAATCGTAACCCTATCCCAGACTAAAATAATACCCTATCCCAGACAAAATGTCAAAAAATGATACCCTACCCCAGACCCAAAAGCCGAAAAACCATACCCTATAAGGCGGCACATACCCGTATAGCAACCATAGGGAAGTACCCCCCCACCTCCCGGGAGTATTGCTTCTGTGTTCGACAATAGTGATTGAATAAGATATATTACTATGGATGTGATTAAACAATCTTTTTTGGTGTTCTGCATAAATAGCC